TTGACCCCAGTACTCTTTCCTGCCATGGCAGGGGGGCGGACTAGATGATCTGCCCAGGTCCCTTCCGACCCTAGAAACTATGAAACTATGAAACTTGGGAAGGCCCTAGGAAGTATATGCGGGCAGGCAGAGATGGAGCACAGCCACCCACCACCCAGTGTTGCCATCTCCCAGGATCAGAGCTGGAGGTAAGGCAAGGGCAGCAGCACCCCTCTGCGGGCTGCACAGGTCCAGGCAGCCAAACACAGGGGTGGAGGGGAGCTTGCACACAGGTGCCACCGCCACCCACCACCCCACACTGGTGCTGCTCTGCATGTGGCTGCTGACACCCCCCATCCCACATCCAGGCAGTGGGGGTACACTTATTTTAAAAGGTTGAAAACTCCTGACCTAGGTCATTCTGAATCCTAGACGTAGCCTCCAGTATATCTACTACACCCCCAGGCTTGATTTTATCCACAGACATGCGGAGGGTCCACTCCATCCCATCTTCCAGATCATTAATGAAGATATTGAACTAAAAAACGGCCCCAGGACTGACACCATGTATCCACAGAGCCAGTTATCATAGAAGGCAATCAGGTTGGTCAGACATGACTTGTCCTTGGGGAACCCATGCTGACTGTTCCTAATCATCTTCTCTTCCAAGTGCTTAGAGATGGATTCCTTGAGGACCTGCTCCATGAGATTGAGGTGAGGCTGACTGGTCACTAGTTCCCTGGATTCTTCTTCCCTTTCTTAAAGATGGGCACTATATTTTCCCTTTTCCAAACATCCAGGAGCTCCCCTGAACACCATGAGTTTTCAACTGTCACATTAGCCAACTCCCTCAGCACTCTCAGATGCTTTGCACCTGGTCCCATGGCCTTGTACATGTCCAGCATTTCTAAATAGCCCTGTGGAAGCAAAGGATGGCTAAGGCCTCAAGGCGGAGAGAGAAATTCCTTAGATAAGAGGAAGATGACCATTAAACTGTCTTGAAGGACACAAGGCCCCAAGGCGGGAAAAGTTAGTTTAGGCAACCCTTTGTCTTGAATCTATAAAAGGTTAATTGCCCTGGATGTAAAGTAGAGAGGCCACAGCAGAAATCTTCCTGTAAGGGTCTCTCTCCGATAGCTATCGAAATAAAGTTTCTACCTGACCTGATTCCAAAATCTACAGCATGTTTTTTCCACGACAATTAAATGGTGCCGTGACTCGGATCCACAGCCAATGACGTGTTCGGAGGACCGTGAGCCGTTCCCCACCGAACCCCAGCGCCACCAATAAAGGTAAGAGGCCTTTTAAATCTCTATTGGGGTGTCGGAGGAGGACTGCTCATAGGCTCCCTGCTCGTGTTGGGTAGCTGGATTCGAACCTTTGTTACAGGTCAGTGTAGAACCAAGACCGGTCATACTAATCTGGTAAATTCTGTCTGTCTCTGGAAAGCGCGCATAACTGGTAGGGAGAATCTGTCTGTTGCACAAGCAGTTGCATCCAGCACAACGCTGGGCTTTAGGAAGTCTGAGTGGGTGATGGGAATAAGATTGTGACCCTGATTGAATGGTGATTTGGAATTGGTCCAGGGAAAATTCTGAAACCACGTGCAGCCGCCCCGAGACGTACGCGAGCCCGGTTTGGGCGATGACCAGCGCAACTCGAATGCAAGGGTGCGTGGTGAAAGAATAGTCACTGGGAGCCAAGGTTGAGAGATAAAAATCAACCCTTCCCTCCTCCCCAGTGAACTTTTCACTGG